GGCGGGACTGGTAAAGCCAACCTTGATGACTGTCTAAACATTAATAAAATATATAAAACAGTTGACAAAAGAGTGAGAGGGGTATTTTCATGGTTTTTGATTTGGTGTTTTAAGTTTCAGTCTTTCTGACTTTCAATGAAATTACGGGCATGCGAAATCTAGGTAATGTACGCCCGCTCTGGAAACTCTGGAAACTCAAAACTTCAGTAACGACTGGTGCCGTCTGTTCTACTTCCTCGTTGGCTTGTTATTTGTGTCTGTGTCGTCTTGAATAGGTATCGCTTGTAAAAGAAATAATGGTGGTCCTTTAATCCACAGGATGACATGCGATGGCCCGTAGTCGCTGCACATGGTTTGGCCGTGATCAGCCTGTCTGAAGGGGATGTGGTGGCTAAACTACGTCGCGCTCTTCTCCGAATTCAGAGAGACCCCTGGCTCAAGGTAAGAAAACACTGTTAACAGTCCTTGTTAACCGCAAAACGTACCCAGTGATAAAAGATATATACTATACAAAATCGTTTATGTCGTAAGGGGATGAAGTTGCTCATTGGCGGTAAGCATTGTTCTTTCCATTGCACGGCAAAGCTAAATTTTGATGGAAAGGGGTAAACTTTGAGGAACTTCAAAATTTTTAGGGAGGGAAAACTCCTCATACATTGACGAAGTCTCTTAAGAAAAATGAGGGAATTCCTACAATCTTGTGAGACTTGCTTAAAATCTCAGGAGTTTTTCATCAAAGAAGGAAGGTGTGGACAATTTTTTGGCACCATAAGTAGAGTATGACACACACATTTGCGCACTGAATCGCTTCTGGAGAATTTTCTGCACAATATGGGTCACAAAACACGCGCAATACTGATGAAATCCTCCGTAAACACACGATGATTTCATCCGTTAAACAATCATGCGAAAACATTAATTGATTTGTAAGTTACCGTAAAACAAATTATGTTTGTGTCCATGCGTGTTTGTGATACGGATGAAATGATCAGTACGGACGTTTCTACCCGTATTATACGCATGTTTTTTTTTTTTTAGCCCGCCTTTTTGCTTTTGAAAGGGCATTAAAGGGGGCTGATACAACCGCTCTCGTGTCCGTCTGTTCGTCTGTCTGTCGTACGTGTAAGAGGAAGGAGATGAGCTAGAGGTCTACAGATTTCAAGGTATCTTAGGGGTCACCTGGACAACGAAACGCCTGGCAACCACCCCTGAGGGGTTGATGGGGGTAACAAAGAAATAGGGGTTGGTCTAAAAAGTAGGAAAGTTTTGTCCGTTTGACTCTTATCTTGAACCGTTTGGGCGCTAGGGTGCTTTTTTGACGAAAATACGGCGAAAATGACCACCCTGCACTTAAAGACGTACAAGGAGGCGTCCAATTGTAAACTCTCAGAGGAATTACACCCCTCCCCCCTAAAAAAACACATTCTGAATCAGTAACTTACCCTCGGATTTGCCGTATCTTTCACTGTTTCGGCCCTAGAGGTGGATATAGTGGAAACAATGGCAAAAAGTCAAGACTGTTTGACAAACAATATACAATCTACAATACACAATCTGCGCGGGTTCTTTTTTTTAATTCTTAAGCAAAGCAGAAGGATAGGGGGGGCGGGGTCGCAATCACCGTTACAGTCTTTTGTCATGTCCACGGAGCAAATTTCTAGGGCCGCAGGCCCCCCGCCCGACGCATTAGCTTACTCAAACATGCAAAGTGATTTTACCGGTCACATTATTTATTTTTTTATGTTCTTCAGTAAATCGCGAGACTGAAATGGTCGGGTCGAAGGCCCGACCATCGCCGCCGGCAGGCCAAGCAGTCCCGGCCACTGCCAAACGGAGTTGCCGGCGCAGCGAAGTGGAGCTGGCAACTCCGTTTTGCGGAAGGGCTGCCCTGCTTGTTATTCGTATAACGTTTCTACAAAATTCTCCGTAAGCAAGTTTGTAAGGAAAGGAGACATTTCTACGAATGCACTGTTTTAAAAATTTGGAGCGGTCCGACATGATGTATAATATCCTACTCATATTCTAGTCACATGGAAGAAAAATATTCGCTCTGCCCGCTAGTACATTTGCTGGTATTTGAACAGATAACCTAATAAGTTTCTTGAATTGCTACATGAGCTACTCTAACCGATTATTGACTGTTGTAGTCAAATATCGACTCTGCGAGCCACTTTTCCTACCATCTGCATATTATATACCAGAGTCAAGACTCGACTACTCCAGCCATGAACTATTTCAGCCAATAATCGGTCAGTGCCTAGCCCACGGTAAAGAAAATGTCTCATTTTTTCAGGTTAAAGGGAGAACTTTGAGGAACTGCCCTGGTTTGACGAAAACTTCTCAGATTTCAAGGAAGTCTCCTCAAAAAGTGTGAGATTTTTCTTCATTTTCTGATACAAGATTCCTCAAAATCTGTGGTGAGATCGGAGGACTCTTCCTGAAACATGGGAGCTCCACATAGTTTGCCTCTTTTCTTTAAGAGATGAGACATTATTTTTACCGTGCAAAAGACCGAATCTTTTTTTCCGTGCGTTCCACACTCCGGCCCTTCCATCTTTGTAAACCACAGAGGAAAGAAGAAAATGAGAAAACGATGTGAAACTGTTTCTTGTGTTCCCGGAAAACTGATCATTTTGCGCTGAACCTCTTTTATTCTCTTCATGGATCAAATGCATAGTGCCCTCCTTGTTTGCCTTCTTTTGATCGACAATTATATTTATTTGCAGCTTCTTGTTTGGCTTGAAGACCCAGGAGAGGTTCTCGAAAACCAGGAGGCTACAGCTCTTTTGGAAGCTGCGCGCGTCTTGGAATATTGGCGAGTCGTAGTAGCCGTACCGCGTATGCACGGACGGGTTGATGTGTATGGTTATCACCCACGTGGGCCGAACTGCCAATTAAACCATGCCCATTTGGTCAGTTCATGTACCGCAGAGAGAAGGTAAATCAAAACGGACAGGCACTTTTCTACATATTAATGGTGTCCTGCTTTGAATTTTTTTTTTGTTTCATAAATTCGAGCGCCGACTGGAAATCGATTCTCTGTGAAAAACAGAAGCTTATACGTGCTTTTTGTGTTTGTTTTCTTTTTGTTTCGGAATTACCAATAGAAACCTACGCGCACTCTTCGCCTTACTCTCAGGGGAAAGCCTACATTGCTCCAAATGTGTTGGAATACTGTACAGTTCGCTTACTAAAATTCAATCTCTCGCAAAAACAGCCGATTTTCGCCATTCAACACCCAAAACACTTCTTTTGTTAAGTACGGCCTTCTCCCCTCCTCTGCTCTGCCGCTTGCTGCCTGCCTCGCGCAGGGAGGGGACATTGCCCTCTGGTAGAGAGAGTCTTTAGATGACTGTCGAAAAATCCCTCACCTGTTTATGCAAAGGTAGCTAACAAGTGGCCAAGTGGCTTGCGTAGCTTTATTTTCGCTTGCCAGAGGTCAATCTGATTAGATGCATGATGCTCATAACCAGCTCTGGCAGCTAATTTTTTTCTGGGCGTAAACCACATTGTCCATCAGTCCGTCAGGCACCGTGTGGCTCGTCCCTGTCACCCGACTCTTTTTGCCGCTGACTTCGCCATTGCCTGACCTACGTGGCTGCCCGCTGCGAGTCACAAGCCTCACGGTTCCCCCAATGGTCGTCACGGAGCCTCCTCGCGCGACGACTGCTTTGGACCCCGCTTTGGGGGTCGGCCCGTGTACGTCTCAAAGTAAGATATTATGAAATGCTGGTCATTTTGAAAACAGTGTAATCCTGTAGTTTGCACTTTACTTTATTCTGGAGGAAGGTTCTTTATTTCAAGCAATGTCAAGTCTTTATTCGTCAAATACCACTCAAACAGATTTTGACCGTAGTATGGAAGAACAGGGCAATCTGTATGAATCCTGATTCTGGGTACAGGATTTTTAACAGTGCTTACCGAACTAGGGTTGCGAAATTACCGGTAACAATCAATGTTACCGTAAATTACGGTAAAAATCGTAATTTACCGGAAATTTTGGAAAAATTGGAAAAATTCGATTTGAAGCAGAAAAATTGGCAATATACTATTCCTTGGCGATCGAAATTCTTGTGTAGTGCCTCAAAAGTGACGGAATAGCCGGTCTTAGCTATACTTATTGGAATATTTGTGTTCTTCATCTTGTTCTCATCAACATCGTTGTATATAGAGTTACCAGAAGTAGCACCTATAAAAATCGTTATCTAAAGCTATGCCTTTTAAACTTCAGAATAAGGACAAATTTGCTATCTGGTCTCTAAAAAGTGAATAAAAAGGTGATACTATGTCATATTTACTATTCGAAATGTGACTTTTGCTTCTGAAAAGTGAGTTTTTAACTCATTTTGTAGGGTTATTATTACCGTTTTTTTCAACGTTACCAAGCTTTTGGTAAATTACCGTAAATTAGCAATTTTTCCGGTAACGTTACCGGTAACATTACCGGCCGTCGCAACCCTATACCGAACGGAGCTGCTGGTAGAGCGAAGTTAAGCTGCCAACTTTGTTTGCCCGTAGGACGGGCTTTGCTTGTTGATTGAGCGTTAGCGAACTCTTTTCCTACCCTGACCAAAAAAGTTCTGATTTGTTTGTTTGTGTGTTTATCCGCTTTACGATAACTCGAGAACAAAATTGAGGTAGCGATCTGAAAGATTGACTTCAAGAATGAAATTGTAGGTCAAAACGTGACCACTGAAAACAAGCTAGGCCCGTCCTTTCGCCAAACGAAGTTGCCAGGTTCACTTCGCTCCGCAGGCAACTCAGTTCGGCAGGGGCCGGGCCTAGCTTGGCCTGCCGCGGCGGTGTTTGTGACCCATGAGGTCACTTTAGGGTGATTCTCAGAATACGGGCCATTTGGGAGTTCCTAAAATTTTTATTTTTTTTGTCGAATTTGCTAGGTTTTTGGGTCGCAATGGTTTTATTTACCTTCAAATAAGATACGTGTAAAGTGGCGATAGTTCAAATCACGTACTTCTAGTACAACGTTAAAAGACCATATTGTGGTCACGTTCAATCAATAATAAAACTCAAATATTGCCTCCCGCACCTTTTAATTTGTCTTTTGTTTGCTCCACTAGTGTGTCGTACTCATATTTTACATCCAGTCATCCCCATTTTATGCGTTTTAGTATGACTAGAACATTGCAATAAATAACTTGTTTTTCGCCCTGACACTGCTCCACAGATGCCCAACCTCATAAT